ATTCATATAAGAGTAAAAAAATGTTTGTTTTTGAAACTCATATTTCTCACTTACCTAGGACTCCTTCCCGACTCATATATTCTGAGCGCTCAGAATATGTTTGCGGGGAAGGGCCTTAATTTTGGTTCGGTTTTGGTTCATGTGTCAGATATATTAAGGGCCGGTTTCTTAAAGACTGATTAAATTATTTTTAATCAGCGATTGGTTAATCACTGATATCTTTAATTGACAATTTCGTTTTCACCAAGGTCCGATTAGCTTACCTCCGATTATGTCGATCATTGTGAATTTATTCATAAAGAGTTCACAAAAGTTGCATTGTGAATCGACAAAAGCAGACTACACAGCTGATTTTTGTTTTTGTGTGGTTTTTGTTTGCAGTTTTCTTGTTTTAAAATTGTTTTAAACAATTGACAATTGTGTTATAGATATTGTGCTTACCAATTTGTGTACCAGCTCGTTAATTATTAGCCTATTCCCGTAACCAGGATTTGCAGGTTTTACAGGAAAAGCTGTTTCCGCCTTTAATACAACTTGTATGAACGTGGCGGACGGAAACCTTCCTGTAAAACTTGCAAATCCTGGAGTACGGGAATAGGCTATATGATAACCCACATGTTCCTTCAAATATCACATCACTTTTGGATTCATTTTACATGGTCGTATAGAAAATGGACGCACTTTAACAATTTAAAGAATCTCGCAGGAATAGCTTGGTGTTTTGTGGACAATAACAAAAATGGATTCAAATATAAGAAAAAGTCGCCTTCCAAACTTTACCAGCGCGGAGGAGACTTTATTAATATCTTTGGCCGAGCAGCACGCCATGATTTTAGAAAATAAAAGGACTGATGCTGTATTCTGCGAGGAGAAAAAAAAGGTGTGGGAGAAAATTGATGTTGCGTTTGAGGCCCAGATGGGTGTTAAAAGAGGGCCGAAGAACTTGCGAGAAAAATACGAAAATTTGAAACGAAAAGCAAGAAAGTCCCTAGCCGAAGAGAGAAGGGAAATGTACAAAACAGGTGGTGGCCAATTC